GCCACCTGCTTTTTCTGTGTTTGCCCCATACAACTGACCAGAGAGATGCCTGCATCACTCTCACTTGTTTAGATTTTACCTCTTTTCTAAAAGGTAGTCAGAGCAAAAACATCTTCCCTGTCAGCATGTTTGTCGCAAATACCTTTACCCAGAAATTCATGTTTGCCTCATCTTCTCCTGCCAGCTTTGTAATTCACCTGCTTCCCAGCCTCTTCTCCCATGACTCCCGGATGCACAGTTTCTGCTCAACCAGACTCCTGTACTCTCTCCACCAACACACGCCTTGTCTTCTCCAGGCTCTAACCTGCATAAGCCATTGCTCAACGTGGGATGTAAGTCTCTTCCCGCTCTGCCCTCAACTGCGTTTCAGTCTCCTCCCCAGCTCTGAACCATCTCCCCTCCTTGGGGACCACTCCCTTGTCTGATTCCCCCCACCTCCCTATAGGCCCTGCTCCTCCGTCCCTGCAGGGGTGTCCCTCTCTTCTCTTGTCTCTCAGTCTTCTCACCTTTCTTTCTGGGTCCTGAGTCTCTGTCCTATCTCCCCACACAGAAGGGGGAAGGCTCCCACTAGGCAGGGATTGGCCTGATCTCTCGTTCTGTGGTGGTCCCCCACCCCCCACAGGCAGTGCCTTCTTCCTGAGAGGGTGTTTATTGACAGACCTGCTGGAGTAGAAGCTCAGCCTTGACACTGCTCCTATCTCTTTTCTTAATTAATTTGATGTGTTTGGCATCAGCTCTGCTGCTAGAGGGGTATTTTCTAAGAGGCAGAGGAGTGTCGGAGGCCTTGCTCCTGTTCTTTCCTTTCCCAAATAGACTAGTATTTCAACCTGACAGCTCCCAGCCGGTCCTCTGGCTATGGAGCATTGAGTGTTTATTTTCCTGATGTTTTTATTCCAAAGTCTTTGCCAGGGTCATGTTGTTGAAGTCTGCCAAATGACAGCAGCCCCTGACCCTGCTACTGAATCTGACACATTTTACAGGTACAGCTGTTGTCAGAAAATTATAGAAGCCAAAGGCAAAAGATAGTTTTGAGAGGTCATCTTGGACACGCCCCTGTCTCTGGCCTAGTACCCATACACTTCTGCTCAGGTAAATTAGAAAGATCTGGTATTCAGAAGGTAATAGATGTCATACTCTTCAATTCTCATTCCATTATCTAACAGGCCTCGCTGTCACTTTCATTATATGGACCCACAGATTTTCCTTTCCGATGTCAGGACTTTCCTATTTCAACTGCTCCCAGAAAGTGGATGATGACGAGCATAACCTGCTGTACACTTGAAAAACTGAGTTAGAAGACGGGACATAATCCAGAGAAAGTGGGCCGAGGGATTAATTCAATCTTTAACACAATCTACATTCCTTGCAAAGACCAGAGTAATTTCCAGACTGATTTAGCTCTTAGCTAAATGTAGACATCTGAACTCCTTCCTAGATCACCATGATAAACAGGTTTCCAAGTTTAGATTAGTCTCACCCACAGATTTCAATGCTTTTTGTCTACCCACATCCCAGTCTACACCCTTCCCCCAGTTTAGGGTCACAGAATGCTGGTGCCAGCCAATAACACACACACGCACTTACCACGGGCCTATGTAATGTCAGGCAACTGGTTGTAAACAGGAGGAAAATGTCATCTAGTTAATCCATCCACTCGCCTCCGTGTATCTAGATATTTGGAACTGACCAAATGAAGGAATAACCCATTGAAGTTTTCCTTCATCAATAGATCGTTAGCCCTAAAATTTTGTAATCAAGCAGTGTCCATGGACAAAGTTGGCTGCACCATTAATACTTCCTTTCTCCACTTGGCATGCTGTGGCTGGACAGGCTTACTCCCCACGTGGTGACCCCAAGGCTGGCTTGAGTGGCTTGGCAGTAGTAATAAAGAGAGATGCCAATATCTCAAAAGTCTGGCAGGCCTCCTGACTATCAGACAGCTGCTGTCATTTTCATAAAAGAAGCAGCAGAAGGCAAAACAGAACTGCAGGAAGGAGACTGCCCTGTTCCTAGTGTTGGAAAGGGCCAAAAAATGGGAACTTCTTTCTTTTTTTTTTAAGATTTTATTTATTTATTTGACAGAGAGAGAGACAGCGAGAGAGGGAACATAAGCAGGGGGAGTAGGAGAGGGAGAAGAAGGCTTCCCGCCAAGCAGGGAGCCCAGTGTGGGGCTCGATCCCAGGACCCTGGGATCATGACCTGAGCCCAAGGCAGACACTCAACGACTGAGCCACCCAGGTGCCCCAGAACTCATTTCTTGGGGGTGAGTGTAGTCTATTTATCTTGGGAAGATAATGGGGGCTGGGGGGAAATTTGAGTGAGCCAATTCAAAGCAATATATCCTCATTACCTTTGGAGAAAATGCTTCATACTAGCCACCCTTGCAAGGGACCAATTGGGGCCATTTCTACACAGTCTAGTGAAGCAAACAGTGATTGGGTATTTAGAGATGGAAATATATGAAACCAAATAATTCAGAAAAATCTACTTAAAATCCTAAATCATCTAGATCTACACTCTCTTGTCTATATGTCAGATTAACTAAATTTCCAAAGTTCTGCTTCATTTGGTGATATGTAGTTTCCACTACAGTAGCCCTGATCTAATTGGTTTATCTCCGGAACTCCCAAGTCACAAAAACATTGTTTTAGCCCATCCCCCACTCTCTCCATGTCTTGAACCACTAGTGGGTCTGAAACAGCAGCTGAGGATAGAGGAAGAGAAACTCAAGGTTAAGACATAGAGAATGTTGGGGTGCCTGGGTGGCTCAGTCGGTTGGGCGTCTGACTTCAACTCAGGTCATAATCTCGGGATCCTGGGATCCGAGCTTGAGCTCCACCACTGGGGCTCCACGCTCAGTGGGGAGTCTGCTGCTTCTTCTCCCTCTGCCCCTCCTCCTGCTCTTGCTCTCTCAAATAAATAAGTAAAATTTTGTTTAAAAAAAAAAGAAATAGAGAAGGCAAAGGGCACCTCACTGGCTCAATTGGTGGAGCATGTAACTCTTGGCCTTGGGGCTGTATGAGCCCTGTGTTGGGTGTAGAGATTACTTAAAAATAAAAATCTTTGGAAAAAAAAAAGAAAAAAGGAGCCCAAATCACCCTCCTTCCCCCTCCAGAGGTATCTGGGCTGAAGCAAACCTGAGTTAGGGAGGAGAGAAGATTTCACATTAAATCAAACTCAGTGTCTTGAAGATACATTGGACTGGACATTCTAACTACAGATTTGAAATTGTGTATATGACTTGAAGTTGTTATAGGACTGTTACCTAAGAGTGAGCAGAAGAGTCTTGGGGCCTCCTAGGGTTTTAATCCAAGGGCCAAAAAGGATTACCTAACAACCATTGACATTTATAATGAGTGATGGAAGATAAAAATCAAGTTGCATTTTGTTTGTTAAAGGGTGTGTTAGTTAAGGATGGACTGGGTGGCCATAATACACTCCAAAATGTACAGTGGCTCAAACACAATAGAAGGTTATTTCTCCCTTAGGTAAAGTCCTAAGCAAATGCTTCTTGTCAGTGGAAAGCTCTTCTCTACATGTGATTCAGGGGTCCATGCTCTTCCTGTATGAGTGTCCACTATTCCCTAGGGCCTAAAGGCTGGCGACCAAACAAGAGACAGGGAGCATGGGAGAGGGGAATAGGGACACATCCACTTGTTAAATCTTTGGCCAGGAAATGGCATATACATTCCATTGACCAGAGCTCAGTCACATGGCCACATCAAACTGTAAAGGAAGCTGGGGAATGTAGTCCAGCTGTGAGTCCAGGAGAGGAACTCCCAGATTTGGAGCAGTAGCTATAGAGACCCACCTGGAAGATCCTCATGGAGAACTAATGGTTCAACCACAATAGAGAGCATACTTGTGAGAATATTTTTTTCTTCAAAAGGAAGATCATCACTCCCCAAAGAGACTTTGTTCCTGATAGTGTGTGTTGATGCATGGGGGAGAATAAAGATGGAATGGGGGAGAAATTGAGAGGACTCTCCTGAAAGAACAGAAGTAATCCCAGTCGGGTATCATGAAGATGGACGAGGATGGTGTAGCTTGACTACTGAGCCTTCAACTTCAAGAGACTGTTTCCCCCCCCACACCCCAATCCCATGGAACTTCTAGCTTCTTGTGTAATGAAGATGTGCCTGAAACCCCGAGATCTTGAGGAGCCTGGAGGTAGACAGTCCTCTTGAAAGAAAACAACAACAACAACAACACCCTTTTTGCTACTGAAAAGAATCTCCGGTAAAATCTGCCACTGGATACAGAAGCCAGTAAAATCCAGTGAATGCAGAATTGCCTGGCCCTTCAACCCTAAACAAAATCATATTTTATGTTAGATTAATCATAAAACCGAATTTAATTTTTTTAAGTGCCTCATTTTGGTAGGATCAGAAGACACATCTGGCAGGGATGAGGTCATCACAAGAAGAGTTTGAATATTTGCAATTAAAAAACACCCGCCTCTTTTGGTGTCTCAGTCGAGGTGGGAGCAAACAGCTTCGCAGGACCCATCACCGAAGGCAGTTTCCCGAAACTCAATCTCCTCTGTTACCTATATTCCGGGCCCCTAGCTCGCTATGCAAAATAAAGGGCGTCTCCTTTCTCACGCAGATGCGCCGTTCTGCAGCGACGCTCACTACCGTATTCACGTCTGTGTGGAGTTTCACTGGACTTGTACATTAAGCACCCTCCCCTGCCCGGTTTCTTGAGATGAGCTGGGACACACGCTGGAAAAACAAAACGGGGGAGGGGAGGAGGTCTGTCAAATCCCAAAGCAAAGAGCAGCCAAGGCTTCCTAAGTAAAGGAGAAGGACTTGGGGAAGAAATAATCCGTTAGTGTAGGTAGCGCGGGGTTGAAATTACTCCTCCTCCCTCCAGTGCCATCATTAAGAAGGACCCCGTCTTCGCCTTTAGGCGTGAGCCGCTCTGGGGGTTACAAAGCGGCAAAGAGTGGTCTTTGGAGGCTTGGGGAGTCAGCAATCCTTCAATTTCCCATCCCCCACCCCCTCCTCGCCGGTCCACGAGAAAGCCGGGTCCGAAGGCTGGCAGGGTCCGGAGCCCTGCGCCCCGGGCTCGACTGCTGGGCTGCATCCCCGCGCCCCCGCCCGCTCGCCGCCTGCAGCCCGCCGCGGCCGCACCTCGGACTCTGCCTGCAGAGGGGGCCGCCCTTCTCCAAAAGCGGCTTTGGGGAGTTCTGGGTCCCAGCAGGGCTACAGAGGGAAAGTGACTGGGTCTCACCAACCTGGAGACGTTGCCGCAGGACCCAGCTCCCGGGAAGGGCGAGGAGGCGCTGGGCGGCTGCCGGGCCCTACTGCGGCGCCAACACATACAAGTTCTGCTAGGAATGTTTGAAAACCAAGTTTCTCCCCATTCAGGTTTTTTCCCTCGTTTCAGTCTATTTCCTTCAAAAAGCCAAAGACGTGGGCGGGCGGGCGCCACCGGGTCTGGGCACTGAGGTTCTGACTGGGGCAGATTTCGTTTGGTTCGTGTTGAGAAAATAAGGGTCGCGCTGTCCCAGGCTGGGAGCATGGGCCCTCTGTCTCTGAGCCGTGCAGACCTCCGCGGCTCCCTCGAAGAGGGGCGCTCTCCCGGCCGCCCTTGGCGGTTCCTTGGAAGGCTCCAAGGAGACCGTGCGCACCCCTGGACCCCAGCTCCCTGCGGGGACCGGCCAGGGGAAAAGCACTGAGCGCCGCTCCCCGCACCCCTCGAAGCCGCCGGCCTGAAAGCGCGGTCCGACGCACGCTGCTGCGAGGCGAGAGGGCGGCGAGTCCTCGGCCAGCGCTCCTCGCTCGGCTTCTGCTAGGCCCTCCGCCTGATTTCGGCTGGAGGTGGTCGGTTTTCGAGGGCAGAATACGAGGCTACTGGGGAATTAGACGGGAAGGCAATACTCGAGCTTCTTGAACGGCCCTGGGAGAGAAGAAAAATAAAGAAGCTACTGATTTTGAAAATAAAGATCTGGAGCGAGCTTATGATCCCACTGGCTTTTCCACTGAGTTTCGCCCCCCACCCCCTACCGTGCACGTCGGAGCTGGCTCCGTCCGGGAGAGCACGAGCACGGAAAAAATGCCTTTTGGGCCTTGAGAAGGGGGACCACCCCCCAGCTTTGGATACTTAAAGCTGAAGCTGCGAAATAATGGTTGAGGAAATGGTGGAGAGGGAGGCGTTAAGGGGGTTTCTTCAGTGTCCTAGGGGTTTGTAACAAAGCAGATTTTGAACTTACTACAAATACGTTCCCTGTTCACATAGCGTAGACCTCATTCTTCAGGTCCTCTGTGTGGGGCGGGTCGCAGCCGCAAGGTTCTCCGTGGAAGTGGGCGGACATATTCCAGCATTCTAAAAAACATTATCACAGCGAAATCGTGGGAAAATTCAGGCAACTCTTCCTCTCACTTACCTTTTGGGTAGTTGAGTAATTCAGGAAAAGGAGAATTTTGGTTGCTTGTGGAGACCCATCATCGCTGGAGAGGAAAAAGAGAGAAAGAGAGAGAGAAGGAAAATCTAATAGAGAACGGTGGAGTGTGTGCTGAGATGGTGGAATGGGTCCTCTGTGCATATTTTCTGGTGTAAAAGGACAGAGTCTGCCTTTCCCGGGCATCAGTTCCAGGAAGCATATTGCTTCCACTGTGGTAAAAGGCATAGTGCTAGATAAAGTTACCAAAAGGTGCGGGTGTGTATGGTGGAAAACAAGGGGTTTCTACTTGTATCGCTGGAAAACATCTTTCCTGGTGGGAATAATACTTGGGCTCTAGTTTTTTCCCCCACCGTGATTGAAGCTGGGTAGGACCAACCTCCTCCACATAATCCTTAGGCTGAATATGCACTTGCAGAGTGAGTCTGGGGCATTACTCCCCCTGACTTGAACTGAAAGATTCAGATCCATATTCTAAGCTGGGCAGAGCATCTGAGAAATCCCTGCTGAGACCAGAGCCTGAGCAGTGAGCCCTGACAGGCCAACGTGAACACCAAGGGGGTGTCTCTGTACCTAGCACGGAGCTGGGTACAGCTCTAATGGCTGCACCCAGGGAGCCGGTACCCTGAGACCCAGGGAGCAGTTACTTTGGGGAAAGGGGGGTTGGGATGGGGCTTTCTTCTTCCCTGGATAAACCACATTTGGGGAACTTTTTTCAAGGGTGGGGCTAAGTTTTGACCGTTGTGAGCCCACTTTTCTTACTGGCAACGTTTGAAGAGAGAAATTCACCACTGTTTATGATCTTGTCCCTACTATTTAAGGTACAAAGTATTCTAAAGAAAAGATTTAATATAGGAAATTTGTAGACCCACAGTGCCCCAGATTTAGAAGTACATTTGAAGTATGCCCAACTGGGTTGTCATCCTGGGTTTCTACACATAACAGGACATGCGACATGCAGCAAACGACAACAAATACATAGCCACACCGAAATTAATACTGAGATTTCTATCATGTGAATAATTTGCTTTTTCTCCTTTACCCTTATGCCAGCTAAGACTTAGACAGGTTTGCAGAGGTCCTTTCTCATGGCTTCTCTGCCTCTGCCCTCCCGTCCTTCCCACCCACTTCCCCCCACTTTTTTCTTTTTTTGAGCCAAGAATTCTCTCACAAATTTTCTTAGTAGGTGCGTGATTTTTTTTTTTTTAACCACTTCCCTATCCCAAGACTGGAGATAAGGAACAGAAAATAGTGTTGTTGTTTTTTTCCTTTCCTTTCGCATTTGGGAGATGCCCTTTTCCCCAGGAACAAGCGGACAGGGAGTGAGAAGGAAGGGAAAGCTAGGTGATTCTTGGTCTTGGCAGTAGTGGTTGTCAACAGAAATCTGCAATCGAGATGCGACCCTGTAGCTCAGCGGAGGAGTCCCCGGAAGCACAGGGACCTGACTCCCAAACCCCCAGCCGAGGCTCCCACTAGCACAGCCTAGCATGCCTCGGCAGTCGGGTAAACCCCCCCCCGTCTCCCCCCACCCCCAGAGCTCCCAGGGACCTCGTAGGTCTGTTCTACCCCACAAATGAACGTCCCCACCTGTGCGCTCGGCTACCGGCGCCCACCGAGGGCACACAAGCGCATCCGTCCGGATCCCGGGGACGATCGCTCCTGGCTGGCCGGCTCGGGCCGGGCCGCGGCGGGGAGCGGAGAGGGCGCCTCTCGATGCGGGCACTCATCCGGCTGTCTTCCCCTGTCGGCCATTTATTGTCCTGTGTGGAAGCGGCTTTCGCCCCGCTTAAGCTCGGTCGGAGTTAGTGAAATCAAATACTCAATAATTACTACATGTAAAACAATAACAACCCCCAAATCAGCCTATTAAAATAAACGAAAGACCTCTCCAAGTCTTGGGAGCAATCCAGAGAGAAAAGGGAAAGGAGTCAGAGGCTGGCGCCGTGTTCCCGGCGTAGGCAGGCGGCGGCGACGGCTCCGGCTTGGGGGGACCCAGCATCCAGGCTCTGGAAGTGAGCCGAATCTCCTAAAATCCGTGCCCGGAAAAAAAAAAAAATTGCGCTGAAAGAACAGTGTCAACGCCAGGATTCCGCCAAGTTTGGCCAGAGGGCAGCTTGGTTTCCCCGCAGGCGCGTGATTCCGCTAAGCGATAGCCGGGAGGTGGGGGGTGGGGGGGTGGTCTGAGAATTACACAGTGCCGAGTTGCTCCTGCATATCCTCAGACCTCTTAAAACTAAAATTGTCAAGCATTTATGCCTTACCTATGCTTGAATACCATGACCACGACACAGCTCACTGCATCAGAGAAAACACCGGTGAGGTGAATTAATGAACACGTGTGTGCCAACATGTATCTTCCTCCACAAAACGGTAGGTCCACCCGTCCCCACACACACATGCCGGCATGGGCATAAAGACAATGAAAGGCTTTATATTTTAAAAATTAAACATGACTGTGTTTCATATCCAAGGGAAATATTTTTGAAGTTTTTACAAAGATTACCTAATTATCTGGATATGGTATCTGAGGGCACATATCTTGTGTGAATATTTATCTAAAGTTCCCCTAACAACCAGCAAAGCATATATTATGTACTTCTTTGTCTAGAGATGATAGGTTCTATAATAGATGAGAGAGAAATAAATCTGTATTACTTCTTTGGAGGGAAATTCATTAATAAGCCAAGCACTGAAAAGAGAGTTACAAGTATTTTGAATCACAATGCAGATTCTGGCGGAAAAGGATTTTCTTAAGTCTTCAGAGTAGGCAAGGAATTGCACAAGGTTCCCCCCTCCCCATGCCTTAAGAGTAGCATGTCTGCAAAACTTGAGGATGGTCTTTTCTCACATCCATTTGTTTATAGTGGCTTAGTGGAAGGAGAGAAGGTCACCTCTGGAGACAGCTGGAATTGGTGGGTTCGCAGAATCTCCCCAAGCTCCCATCCTAAAAGTATTTCCTTTCCTTTCACCCCTACCCATTCCATCCGCCTGCCCCAGCCAGCACCCCTGTCATGACCAACCCGTAAATGTCTCCGGGCTGTACAAGCACAATGCACACCCATCACAACACATGTTCCCCAGCATGGGCACTAACTTTCCAGGAGTGTCCAAAAGCCAGGACTCAGCAATTATGCTCCTTAGAAATGCAGAGGTCCATCAAGTGTGAGGAGCCTGGGGTGGTCTCTATGTCTTGAAAGATATTTCTTCTTATCTGAGTTCAACTTTCTCTGACAATGCAAGTGAGTGCGGTAATCTTTGGGAAGAGAAAAAAATGGATGTCCCCTCCCCCTTTCTAGTTCTTCAGATTTCATCCACTTTGCTGCATGTACAAGGCAATACCACAACTGAGAGAAAAAAGTGCTCCTAAACACTCCCTAGAGAATAGGAATTTGGATGAGAGGGAGGAGGCTGTAAGGCAAGGAAAGTCTAACACCCTCTCCCCAAGGGTATCATAAGGAGAGTTTCCCACCAGTCACTAAAGCTGTACCAAATTATATCTTTTAAGAAGATTGAATTAATTACCACCTGTTGGAATCTTGTTCCAGAGTACCCCAACAAACTCCTTCCTGCCTTTTTGCTCCACGGATCCCAAGCCAGGTTGGCTATTTTAACAAAGGGGTTTATCTGCCCCCCCCAATTTAGTTGAGTCTTGGGTCTTCACTTCCCTCTTTTTTTGGAGATGGGAAAATTAAATTTTCTTTCTTTTGATAAAGCATCTTCTGGAGGTCCTTCAGTTGCTTGTGTCCTGCTTGATTATTTTCAAATTAGAATGATTAGACTGTATCTTCTTCTGTGACTTCTGAGGGTGCCTGGTCATGTGGAGAACTAAGCTGTGTGATTTCCCCCCTTCCTCATGATGAAATGTACATATATCCTCCACCAACTGCCTCTTAGGGGTTCCACCAAATTCCAGTTCCCAGCATCACGGTGGCATTAAGGGGGTCTCTCACCTAGTTAGAAATGAAACCTCTAGCCCTTTAACTCTTTTATATTTAGTCATTCTTTGGGACGGTTAAACAGTCCTCTTTGATACAGAAGAATGATGTATTGGGGTCCACAACCCCTCCTTTTCTTAAGAAAAACGTTATTCTCCATATCTTCTTTTAAAGTAACTAGAAATCTGAGAGCGAGATTGGTCAGCCTCCTTCCTAGGAGCCCCAAATCTAAACTTTAAAAGATGGAGGAAATGATCGAAAGTGATAAATGCCTTTTCCAAGCATTTAGTTTGTTGGCTTTCTGACCAAAAGGGGCCTTTGTTAGATCTCTGCAAGAAAGCCAAACCCAGCTCCCAGCAAACACTCCTCCACCTCTTCCCCACCCCCCTCACTCCCTTGTCTAACTTGAAAATGAACTTGGACTTCCCTCTCAGACAGGCCCTAAAACCAGGAGAGATTTTATTTGTCTGTTTCTGAAGGGCTTCTAAAAGGGGGAGGTTTTCTGGGGGGGAGAGGAGGGGAACAGAGGGCTCTCACCCACAGCAGAAGATGGGGTAGGGGTAGGGGGCTCAGGGAGGCAAGAAAGGGGAGGAGGTACTTGTTAATTTCTAAACTCCATGTTAATCCTCTGAATTTCTTTTGTCACTGGAGGGTGAGGAAAGGGCAAGTGACAGGCTGAGATGTTGCCAAGAGAGACAAGAGAGTAAGAGGGATGAGATTAGAAAAGGGATGGCGCTGGGGAAGGAGAAGATGAAGAGGCTGGGAAGGGGTTCTGTCAGGAGGTTGGCCGGGCTGGGAGGGTAGGGCTGGAAAGCAGTGGAAGAAAGAGGGCTGGGGTAAGGACCCCGGAAACCACTGGAGGAGATTTCCTGAGAATTCTCCATGGCAGGGGCTGATCTCCCCGCCAACCCAGTGCACCACCAGGCAGGGTCTGCGATTGTGGGCAGGCTGGTGGAGAATCCAGGAAAAGACTGGTGCTAACAGCCTGAACCTGAACCCCTGTGTGGATCCCTGCAGAACCAGAGAGGAAAGTTTGATGTGGTTCCCCAAACTCTGGGCCAGCACCACAAGTCCTAGTTGGCAGCAGAAGGGAGTGGATTTCTCTGATGTCTAAAAGAGGGAAGTGAATGGGGTCTGGAGGAAGATAAGTTTGGGTTTGAGAGTGGAAAACTCTGAAACTAGGAGCAAAGTGATGCCTCAGCCATCCTGGTCCCATCTTCCCTCAAGCTGGGGGCCCAGGGAGGGAGAACAATAAAGGTAGAAGATGCCAGGATGGCAGCCACTGCCCAGGAGGTGAGTTCCCAAGCTGGCAGGAGAGGTCTGGGTGGCCCTTTTCTGAGGCCAGGCAGTGGGGGTGGAGAAAATAAAGTAGAGCATGTTCCAGAAGGATCCAGGTGCCTGGGCGGTGGCATCTGTGTCTCCATACTCCTTGGGTCATCCCCAACCTTCCAGAGCCCAGAGAGGGGGAAGGAAAGAGGAGAGGAGGAGACTGGGCTAGGCCAGGGAGCCCCAGGGTCAGTCACTTTTCTTTCCTTCTTCACCTATGTCACCTTTGCAACCCACCAAGAATTTGCCCTGAGTGTGTGGGAGGCTCTCTCACTCAGACACACTCTCAGGGGTACCCTCCCCTATGCCTTCCCTGAGCCCCTAAACCCTTCCTGTATTGTGGCCTCTTTATCCAAAACATCCCTTTCTTTCCTGGATAGCTCAAGCCCTATGTCCTCTGTAATCCACAAATCTCCTTTTCCACTCTGTAGCCAGTGCCCTGGACAGGAAAGGGCCCCCCAAACTATGCCTGCCCACCAAGGCCCCAAGTCTGGGCCAGAATCCAGACCCCATGGTCGTGAGGCTCTTTGTTCTCCAATCGCCTCAACCCACCCCCTCCTTTTTTTTTAAACTGGAATTTCTCCCATAAAAAGGGGGGGCAGGAGCTTGAGAGCGTCAAGCTTTTTTTTTTTTTTTTTTTTTTTTAGATCCTGGGGAATTTGAAGGAAACAGAAGAAATTGTGGGGAAAAGAAAGGAAAATCAACTGATGCTTAATTTCCAGAGAGAAGAATCTGGGACATACCAGCTTCATTTCTCTCATCCTTCTCTCTAGCCTGGTGTTTAAGGTACGCCAGGCCCTCGAATGGGCTCATCAGGCCTGCACCCTTCTGCAGCAGACACTGCTAACTTGCACCTCTGACTTTGTCTTTAATACAGTGGGCCAGGAATTCCACCCCTCATGTTCAGAAAGGCTCAGACAGCTACCTCTTCATTTTCTTAGTATTTTCCTGGGGGATGTGTAGGTAGATAGGATGAGTATGTAAATCAAGTGCGTATACAGAGAGATTAAACAAACCAGCAGAGATCTTTACTTGCATATAGAGGATGTCAGCAGAAAGCTGGGTATCTTCATGAACACATTGGGCTGTGTCCACAAGGGCATGTGCTGGAACAGGGCATGCAGCCTGCACACGGTCCCAAGTCCACAGGCCAGGAATGAACACACACACACACACACACACACACACACACACACACACACTGAGAACCCACGCTGAATATCTCCTTTGTATGTTGGACACTTAGAGAAGAAGAATTTCAGAGTTGAACTCAGCCTGGAATTCAGTCCCTAGAGAAAACTAAGGACAGAGCCTAGTCGTTGCAAATGTCCCTTTGAGAAAGGAGCCCAGAGCAGAGCCCGGTCTTCCCGATGGGGCTGAGGGGCTATTTTCCATTTTCCTTTGATATAATGAAATGCTGCGTCTTCACTCCCACACCAGCAGCTCAGCTAGAGACCGAAGAGTCACATTCCCTTTCCTTTCTCTTGATTTCCTCTAAACTTCCTCCGCAGTCAAGCTCCAGCGCCCCATCGGCGAAGCCGGCGGGCGAGGTGTGGCGGTGCGGTGGGGGGCGAGCGCCGGCCGCGGGTTTCAGCGGCTTTCTAGGGCTGGATCGTCTCGGAGATGTAATTACTACGTTTCCAGTGGTGCATATTCTCCTGGAGTGTTTAATTTGGTTTTATTTGTGTCTCAGCCAGATCCACATTTTTTCGGGGGAGGAGAGAGAAGCGACCCCAGGCTTAAAGTTAATTAACCAAGCAGGCTTTACTTTCCGCCGCCAGTCCGCCCGAAGGCTCTTGCACTGCCGCCTCTCTCCCCGCTCCCGGAGCGCCCCCGTCGCGGAGCCGATTTTAGGCGCGGAATGACTTGGGGAGTCCAGCGAAGGAACCGGGAATCGTTCAGAGTATGCCGTCACGTCTCCAGATGCTTTTGACTCCCTTAGTCCTGAACTTTCCCCTTCTCCAGCCTTCCCACACCCCCCAAGTCCCTTGGGGGGCCTACATCTTCGCTGGCTGGTCTTCTTGATGAAGGAGACTTTGGTTCCCTCTCTTCTCGTTGCTAAATTTTGGCCGCATCGTGCCCCTAATAAATGGAATTGTAAAATTGCCAGGTTAATTAAATCTATATCTCATTGCAATAGGAATAGTTAATGTCCTTACATAAACCTGGAAAAGAACATACTATTAATTTTATTTATTGCTGGGCCGCCCTGCACCCAGATCCTTCCCGCCGTTCTGCCCCCTACTCCCAAAGGCTGGGGGAAGCATGTCTTTGGGTCCGGGTCCGCGGAAGACGCGTCTGGCGTTGGGCTAGAGCATTCCTGGACTGGGGAGGGAACCCCAGGAATGGGGTGGGCGGTTCAGGCCCTTTGTTTCTCCCGGCGGCCCCACAGAGCCCGGTCCACGTAGCCCTGGGTTCTCCACGCAGACCCAGCACTTCACAGTGGGAGAAGCCAGGGTTTCGGCACCCCCTCTACACCTGCGGCTGGAAAACCTCAGACCTCCTCACTACTTACCCCACCAGCCAGGCAGCAGGCAGATGGGGGCCAAGGTCACACGACCCAGTCTAGACTGGCCAGTTCCTGTTTGCTTTCCTTGTTCTACCTTGACCTTGGACTCTGAGGCAGGGAAGCCAGTTTCCTAGCCAAAAGCCATCTCCCAGCAAGCCCCCACCTTCCCCGGGCTCATCTCTTCTCCCTCCACCATCATCGCCTTCAACACACTTTGAAGCTAAGCTGGCTTATGTTTTGTATTTTCTTCCTACTGCCAGCCCAGCCCAAAGCCTGCTTTCAGACTCTGAGGTGACCCTTCCAGATGAACATCACACTGATAAAGATTACTCATTTTTTATCCTAACTCACCGACACGAGGGCGCTCTCCATCGTCAAATACTACCTTCCCCATAGAGGGAGAAGGGACGTGGCCATGGGGCCGCATCTCAGTACAGACTTGGCATTTGCTCTCAGGTTTGAGGGATCCAGTGGGTCGGGACTAGCCTGGGGCTACTGCATGGCCACCCCCTGTGAGCCGACTGGACAGGAGCCCCAGCATTTAAAATCTGTGGCAGTGGCAGGAAAGAGGGAGATGCAGCCCCTCTCCCCTTTCTTTCTCTCTCTCTCTCTCTTTATTACCTCACTGGGCATAGGAAACCCAAGTCGGGAGATTGGTAAGGAAGAGGGGGACTTTTTCAAGAATCAGTAAATTGGTGTTAATTTTCTCTTTGACATATGGGGCAATTTTAAAGCATGCAGACACTCCACACTAAAAGGGAGTGACCCTAAGAAAACCGTGGAAGCCTAAGTTAGAGAACTGTGTTGATCCTGGCTCTGCCCCTGGGCCCTCTCAGGCCGGCTCAGCCCAGGCTGCAGAGGGCGGAGGAGGCCTGCCAGGCTTAGGTCGGTCCTTCTGGGGTCTTACAGAGTTGCGCCTGGGAAAGGTCCCTCCAAAGGGGCAGATTGGCCGACTCTCGTTCCACGTTTCCTTTTGTACACCGATCTGAGAGCGCTTGGTTTTGTTCGCATCAAGGGCTTTTTAGCTTTCCTAGACCGAATTCTTCCCCCACCTCCTGCCCTTTTCTTTGAAAATCTCACTCTGAGGCTTTTCATTTCTATTGTACATTGAAATATCAGTGTATCCTATTGCCCTCATTTCTCTCCTTTTATTCTTTCTCCATTTTCACTGAGAGCATCACTCCACCCCCTCCGTGTAGTGATGTGTGTATGTGTTTGTGTGTGGGGCTTTCACACCCTCTCAGCCCTCTCTGCTCTGCAGTGGAGGTGGAGGAGCCGAAAGTGTCCCTCTCAGACAACTGGGGCTTTGGAGAAAGTGGCTGAAAGTCGGAAATGGAAATGCAATCCCGGCATCAAAGTCTCTCGGTGCGCGGCTTCGGGTTCTTTCCATCCGCGAGTTCTAGGGGATTATGCCAGGGCCAGAACCAGGGCTCCCCACGCCTTGCCCTCACGCTTCCGCCTGCTTTCTAGTTTATTTATTAAGAGGGGGGGAAATCCAGTTTCTCCCCCACCCTTAGCCCCAACCCCAATCCAGTCACAGCGATCGTTTTTTTGGGTAAGGATCAGTCTCCCCCATAGCCAATCTAAACCTAAACCTAGAGGGAGGCGCCCAGGAACAGTCCTAGTCTCTCCAGACCCCTTTGCGTCGGCCAAATTCAGCCTCCCCCTCCTCCCTCTCCCTCCCCTCCTCCCTCTCCCTCCCTCCCTCCGGCCTGCCAGGGGGGGCGTTGCCCTGTCCCTTTAAATCTCCCAGCTCCCTCCTCTTCGCCCCTCCTGAGAGCCAATCATCAGAGACCCGTTTCCTCTTGCCCCGCCCCACCGCAAGGGGTGGGAACCCCAGGAGACCGGGCCCCAGAATCACGTGCGTTGGCCGCGTCACGTGGGCGCGGGAGGGGTGCTGAGGGGAGCCCGGCTGGAGACGGCGGATTTCTTAATGAAGTGTCCCCGCATGCGTAGAGGGTTTTAGGGAGGGAGGTGGAAGCACTAGGAGGAGGAGGGGAGGGGAGAAGAGGGAAGGGAGGAGGGATGGGGGAGGGGAAAAGGGAGCGAGGTGTCTCCCTAGCTCGCTGCCTCTGGCAAGTGGAGTTTTTAAAAAGCTCGAGCAGATCATGTCATGACGACTTCGCTGCTCTTGCATCCGCGCTGGCCGGAGAGCCTTATGTACGTCTATGAGGACAGCGCGGCGGAGAGTGGCAGCGGAGGCGGCGGCGGGGGAGGCGGCGGCGGCGCGGGCGGCGCGGGGGGCGGCTGCAGCGGAGCGAGCCCCGGCAAAGCCCCCAGCATGGACGGGCTGGGCAGCAGCTGCCCGACCAGCCACTGCCGCGACCTGCTTCCACACCCCGTGCTGGGCCGCCCGCCGGCTCCCCTGGGCGCCCCACAGGGCGCAGTCTACACGGACATCCCGGCCCCGGAGGCGGCGCGCCAGTGCGCCCCGCCGCCGGCGCCCCCCACCTCGTCCAGCGCCACCCTGGGCTACGGCTACCCGTTCGGTGGCAGCTACTACGGCTGCCGCCTGTCGCACAACGTGAACCTGCAGCAAAAGCCTTGCGCCTACCACCCGGGCGATAAATACCCGGAGCCGTCGGGCGCCCTGCCCGGTGACGACCTGTCCTCCAGGGCCAAGGAGTTCGCCTTCTACCCCAGCTTCGCCAGCTCCTACCAGGCGATGCCCGGCTACCTGGACGTGTCGGTGGTGCCTGGGATCAGCGGGCACCCGGAGCCGCGTCACGACGCGCTCATCCCCGTCGAAGGCTACCAGCATTGGGCTCTCTCCAACGGCTGGGACAGTCAGGTGTATTGCTCCAAGGAGCAGTCGCAGTCCGCCCACCTCTGGAAGTCTCCCTTTCCAGGTAAGGAAGGGGCCCGAGCGCCGCCGCCGCCGCCGCAGCAGCAGCAGCAGCAGCCAGGGACCCCTCCCCGCCCCGCCTGCCCCGGGGCTCCGCGCCTCAGCCACCCCCGCCGTCTGGCCCCGGCGCGCCGGCTCTGCTGGGCTGCCGATGGAGCCGGCCGGGCGAGCTGCGCTGAGGAATGCGCCGGGGAAGAAATCTGCTCCGACACGTTCCCCGGAGCTGCCCGGCCGAGAGTGAAGCAATCACAGGCGCCCGAGCGCCGGGCCTTCGGCTCGGCTCGAGTCGGGAGCTCGCCTCCTCCTCCCCCAGCCCGCTCCAGTCTCACGCGCGGCTCTTGGCCCCTCGAAGCCCGCTTCCAGCCAGGAATGGGGGTGGGGTGGGCTTTGGGTGCTTTGGAATCCGAAACCACCAGGACAAAACCCTCAACCCGCCGGATAATTGAGGAAAAAAATAAGAACTGTCTTGCCTGAATTTTCAAGATCATTCAAGCATAGATAAGTTTTTGTGTTTGTTTTTGTTTTTCGAATAGGGGTCTAATTTGCCGGGTCCAAAGAAATGCAGAATATTTTCTTTTCTTGATTTATTTTAAGAATTCGGCCACGAATTTCCTGATCGTTAAAGGAGAACTAAAAATCTCTGGAGAGGACGTGGTGAGAAGGGAGTTTGCATCCCTCTCCTGGGATATAAAATTGTCTTTCCCTCTCTGGTATCCTGAGCTCAAATCCTGTGGGTGTTCCCACTGCCAACTCCCCCAAATGTCGGGGAGAAAGAGAGTTTTCTATGCCTCAAACACAGAAAAAGGGGAATGAGGATGAGAAGTGAGGGACTGAAGACCTGTTCTGGATACATCTGGGATCCAGGCCCAGGCTAGGGACCCCTAAGTCTTTGCCTGTGTATTGGGGGGCAGAATTCACCGATGTCCTTTTCCAGCTGAGGCTATTTCTGAACCAGAGGGGATCCTGAAAGCCCCATCATTCCCCAGGGGAGAAAGATCAGTCCCAGGTTTGTCAAAATCACATCAGGAGCTTTGGATTCAGCACAGCGCTGAGAAATTATGAATCCAAAGCCTGAGTCTGCTCTGGCTGTAAGCAGAGCTTGGTGGGAGAGGGCTGACTGGCTCCATTCTAATGCCTACAGGAATGCGGGGGCATGGAAGCCACAGATGTCTCCCCATACTATCCAGAGGGCCCCCCAGCTCTACATGTGAGCCCAGGGACATTTTCACTGGGAATTAGAGATCTGAAGACCTCCTAAGGGTGGGCCTGAAATTCCTCTGCATCCGGGATTGGGGCAAGGGCAGATGGTGAAAAAAATCACTGAATGATATTAGAAAGTGTAGAAGATAACATTCTTGCACTATGAGATTACTTAGTATAACACAACTGAATGTCCGGGTGGGACCCACACTAGGCACCCCATTTCTGGCTGCCAGAAGATTCCAGGATGATAGAATTATAGTACATGGTATCATGTATTACCTGTTCTGAATTGGCAATAATATTTTTATATAATAATTTCTGTTATCAACTACCTAATATGAAACACGTGATAATACATTTCTAGCAGATAGACAATTCACATGTAAGTATACAGTAATGTACTACAGACAGATGGCCCTTTAATTCACCATCTCACCCAAACTGAAAATTCCTTAGGAGACAGGGGTCCAGCAGGAATTCCTGGAACAGGGGGAGCTGGTAGGCCATGCTTAGGGGTGGAAAGGAAGGGGAGCAGATGCCCACCTCACCCACTGTGGGCAGAGACATAGGTCTAGAGCAATGGGCAATGGGTTTAGTGTGGAGAGGTGAAGAGAAGGAGCTGCTTTGGCATCCCTGTGAATGCATGTAGAGTGAAGTGGCAGTGAAGGATTGGAGAAAAGCTCAGAAATATCTGAGCAAAATGAATATCTTAAATATTCCCAGGGGAAAAAAAACCCTACTAAAAATAAACACTTTTTGATCATAGCCTCCTAGAGAAAAATATCTTTGAAATAAAAAAAAATACAGCCCAGTTGAGGTTTAATACACTTGCAAATTACAGCATGGAAATGGATATAAAACTCATTATGTCTCAGCAGCGATATGCTCACAACAATCCCCGTGTGGAAACAGAATCAGGCTGGTATATCTCAGTGAGTGCAGATGTCCAGGCAAAAAGCAGATGAAAAAGAAATTATCTTCAGACACCCTGCATCTTTCTACCCACACAGAGATCTTTTAGAAGTAGTGAGATTTCCAGATAACTCTGTCTATGCACTTGTGGTTTGTTCGGCAGCATCTGGGCATAAACACTACTGTCTCTCTTTAGCGCCTCTGGCTCTGAGAAACCTCACTATGGCAGTCTGGGCTGGTGTGGGATATGGAGGCAATTGTTTAGAAAGATCCAGATAATTAGGGCCAAGATGTGTTGTGGCTTCTTCCCCCAATTATACAGACCCTTGTTTCATTGCTCCTTTTTTTTTCCTTCCTATGATGAGTGTAGACACTTTTTTCTTTTTCTTTCTTTCTTTTTTTTTTACAGAGA